CCCATAGCTTGCTCTGCACATTTTGCTCTTGAGGCCAGGTGTCTTTTCGAAGTTGCAGGTAGAGTGGGCAGATCTGCAGAATATGCTGAGGTGTTTTGGGTCCTGTTTGACAGGCACACTGTGGGGATGGGGACTGTACAATCTTTATTTTATGCATGTGGTAGTTGAGCCTCCAGTGTCCTGTTCGTAGACGGAAAATTGTCGTATGTTGCTTTCTGTTGAGTCTGCTGATGGGGTCTTGTGGATGTTTACTGTTAGTTTGTTCTCTCCACAATCCCTTGTATTTTCCTTTGATAAGTGTTCTGATTTCTGGTAATGACAATGAATGGGCATGTTGTTTCTCTTTTGTTCCATTTTTTTGCAAGTCTGTCTGCTAACTCATTTCCTGGGATGCCGCAGGAGCAGGAATCCACTGAAGAACGATTTGGTTGTTTTCTGTGAGTTTGTTTAGCTGACGGGTCAGTTCTCTTTCCATGTTGTCTCGTGGATCCCTATGAGTCGCCTGGAGGACTGACATGCAGTCACAAAGGACAACAATTTTACTGTTTTTAATTTTTCTTTCCTCGAGCACTCTAGCTGAATCAATAATTGCCTGCCGCTCCGCCCTGAAGTCTGCCTGGGGTATTCCGGAGGCGCATGACGTTTCTACTGTGGACCCATCTTGCAGCATGATGACCGATCCAGCTCCTCCATTTTTGTCTGCTCCCTCCAATGATCCATCGGTGTAAACGTGTATCCATTCGGGTTTTGGATAACAGTTGTAGACATGTTCAAGGGTCTTTGCACGCAGTACTAGGTTACACTCTTCAGCCTTTCTATCTATGCCTGAAATTGTTGTTGTGACTGCATAGTTAAACTGTAGGTCTATGCTGTATGCCTGGAGTATTTCCCATGTTGAAGGATCTTTAGAAAGGATGTCACTGTTTTTTGTGTAGTACAATTTTGATAGATGGTGAAAGCTTTGTCTTTTCAGTCGGTTTCTGGCTAAGTTATTTGCCATTCTGTGCATGGGGCATCCGTTCATGCGTTTAATTTTTTTAGGGTAAGCACCTTTTTTTCCCTTCGAAGGCTCAAGCTCTCGAGGCCACAGGTTGCCTCCAGCTCATCAATTGGTATGCTTCTCACACCTCCAGTGACGATTCTGAGACCAATGTTGTGTGTTTTATCCAGTCTGTGAAGATTTGATTTGGCTGCAGTGGAGTATGCTCCCATGCCATACTCCAGTTTTGGTCGTACGAATCCAGTGTATACTTGTCGTACAGTGTTGGCATCTGCACCCCGGCTTGTTCCAGTAAGTTTCTTCATAAGTCTGAGCCTCAGGGTAGCCTTCCCTTGGGTGTTTTCAATGTGGGGGCTCCAGGTCAGCCTTTTGTCAAATTTTACTCCCAAACATGTGAGGCCACCTCTCCCGGAAGGACGCTGCCTTCCAGGCAAAAATCAACCCGTTCTGGCCCTGTGGAAAGAGAGAATAAAGCCGAGACGGCTTCGGTCCGGTCCACTGTGACTTCCCAAGAGTCCGTCCATCTCCTAACTGCATCTTTAGCTTCCTGCGTTCTTGTTTTTGTTGCTCCTATATGTTTAGCTTGAATCCATACTACAAGATCTGAACCTCAGGGATAATTGGTTAATAAAGAGCATCTTGTCTCGGAAACTTGTCTATTGGCGGTATCAAGGAAAGAATAACAGCCGAAGTCATGATACCAGGAAAAAGGGTAGGAACCAGCTAGCACAGATATGGGCACCGGATATACGTGACACCTTGGGTAGAAGAGTGCACGACCCCCGAGAGCTGTTGAGAGGCCGAGTTTCTTTCAGACAGACCGTGATAAGAGCGACGTTCTGCAAAGGACCTATTACCTTATAATGAAACTCAGCCAAGGCGGTACTGGCCATGTTACAAAATACAGGATTCTGACACGATACCTCAATATAATTTAATATTGTAAAAACACGGTTACTTGTGCTGCCTTCTCAGTCTAAACATAGTAAAAATAACAAAGCGGGGAGTAAGTAAGTAACTTTTACCCCAGCAGGACATCACACAGAGTGATAAACACCCGGTGTCACAAAGAGCCACCATGCGGATGCGGATCACCCCGTTCAACCGTTAGGCTATATCAGGGCCCCGGCAACAGCCAGGGTGAGGCTTCAAAATAACGCAAAATTGCAAACTGCAAGGGGACGACTTACATAATGTATAATAACCAAACAAAGCAGAAAGTCACACCCGCCAATAAATCTCTAGAACGTGTGTAAAGCAAATACACCCACAGATAAACGAATATCGTGGTATTTGGGCAACAGGCGGGGAGTTGGGACTACTTCGCTGTGCCACTTAGGTGAATTTATTGATTTTCCGTGCTGGGCATATCCTAGTACTAGGCTACTTTTGCGTTGGTATGCAGTCTTTGGGCTCTAATGGGAAAATGAAAAGCATAATTTATGCGCAGTAATTAAGTACTATGTGTTCAACAGGGGAGATAACACATATATATCCAATTTCGTCCTTTTTAGGACGAAATTTTTTGTCATTTGAAGCCCTACTCTGGCTTTTGCCAGGGGCCGCAATATAGGCAGGCCATATATATGGCCAAATGTCTGAACGCTGTTTCTGGGACCTCTCCACGGCGATCCTCATCCACATGGTGGCACTTTGTGTCATCGGGTGTTTATCGCTTGTGTGATGTCCTGGTGGGGTAGAAATTCAGTTCAGTTCAGATAACACATTTGTTAACCTCGCCCAAATATGGGAAGCATTGTTTTGGGTGTTATTTAAAAGCCCCACCCCGGCTGTAGTGAGGGGCGTCCTAATATAACCTGACGGTTTAATAGGATTTCAGGAACTTGTGACCTGGCGATTCTCATCCGAATGATGACACTTTGTGTCACCGGGTGTTTATCGCTCATTGTGCGGTCCTGAAATACCGGTCGTTATGCTGGTATTACTATCAACATGGGTTTAGAAAGCTTATTAACCTCACTCCAAAGAAATAGTGAAAATCATAACTTATTTCTTAACACAGCAAAAACAAAGATAATGCATACAAGCAAACTGCCATGGAAAGGAAAATATGTTAATGAGGAAAGATTGGAAGAAAAAGAATATCTTGTGTCACTGGTTACCAACAATGGTGACACAATGGAAATTAAATGGCGACTATCAAGTGCTGGAAAAGAAAACAACTGAATAAATTAATCAGATAGAATACAAAGGTCACTTTTTAAGAGCATGCATGTTCCCATTGACGCCTGTAGACCTGACACTTACTAAACAAGAACAGCGCAAAATGCCTATGTTACAGACAGGTTCTAAGAATAATGGTAAAGAAAAGACAAATGCATTCCCAAGAGCTGAATTGTCTAGTAAAGACTAAAACTGCTTTGGGTCACTGAAACGTCATCCAAGTCTAGGAGAACAATAATGGGAGGGGTATAGCCCTGGGAAGAGAGGAAAGGAAGGCCACGCCAGATGGGTGCAGGTTGGCAGATGATCTCCAGATGGGTGTATCAGACGCAGGACATCTTGCTCATGAGAGCTCTCCCCATGTTTTCCCCAGGGTTGTTATTTCCGCTAGGGACATTATTCTGAATGAATGCTCGGTCTCAATGTCAGTTTTTTTTTTTTCCGCCAGAGTTTACAACAGGTGAACGCTCTCATTCCTATGACCCCTGTTTGATAGTGAACCATAGAACTAAATGCCTATACGTTGAATAGGTTTATTGTCTGTTCTGCTGTCTTTCTCAATGGAGCATGTGTCCTCTATCCTCACGCCAAGTGTATCCTTCCTATTTCACCTCGCCCCATGTGGTCCCCATCCACTTTATTTTGCAGCACTCTTGCTTAGCCTTTCTCCTATGCCCCCTGTAGGTTCCAATGCAAAGACGTCACAGTTAGCTGTTATCCTGTTTTTCTCAATGTGTCTCACCCTTTAATCCACTGCAGCAGTTCTTCCCAAGCTCACTAGTCTGATTTTCTCGTACCTGTTGATTCTCGATAGAGATAGGGCTGAGTGGTCTCAAAGCATGGCATCCGCCTCAAGTGCTGGAAGTCCTGGTTCATGCCCCCGTGAAGGCTAGGAGTTTTTTTACGTGGACATCTATTAATTCCCCCTGGTCTCTGAGGGGTGAGATTAAAGTTGGAAATAAAAAAGAGTAGCCTAACGGCGTTGCCCACGAAAAATTTGCAGTTGAAAATCTACCCACAGTTTGGTCAGGATCCTCGTCGTTGCTACAGAGTTCGTGAACTGCACTGAGATTCTTAGGACTCAGGCCTGGGTTATAAGTAGAACGGAGCACTTATGGGTTACACCCTTGTGCCATGATGATGATCCGCTGTATAAACCGAACCAAACCAATCATCCTTAACTCTTTGAGTCCCAGGGTAGTTTAGCATCACAGGCCCAATGGGTAGTAAAGAGAAACTAAAATCGACACACCATGCGTTCAGTGGGCTTCTAGGTAGAAGAACTTATGCGTTCCCTGGGATTCAAAGAGTTAAGACATTCATCCTACAGAATGCAAATCTGAAAAGGGGAAAAGTGGGTTGTGGGGGGGGGGGGGGGAGACTTTGAAAAGAAACAAATCCATGCTCCGTCAACATGCATGCCATAAAAGGTGACTAATTGTTTGATCTATTTTTCTTTTTAACATTCACCAACTATTAACTCCAGCAAAAAGTTCAGGTTGTTCGTCCACTTCTGAACTTAAGTATTGTTCCAGAACATAAGCTTTGTGTGTTTGTCCATTTTACAGATCTAACTTTCTGAAACAAGAATTTAGCACACAAGTGACTTTCACATAGTTCCTACTTTTTTTGCTGTGTCTTCCCCATAGATTTTAACTACTTATGTTTAGTAATTCTCAAACCGTTTAACTTTTTTAGCTTTGTTTTGTTCTCTTGTATGACTGATTAACTATTCAATTTTTTTGCTTTTGATTCACAGTGCAAAAATACATGACGAGCAGCAACTAGTTTTTTTTATTAGCCAAACTCGACAGTTATGGCCAACTGGCATATTTGTCTCCTGGTTTCAGTCCTCTCAATTGATTTGAGCAGATCTCAGAGTGAAGGTAAGTTACTAGGACATATATTTTTAAAAAGAGAGATGTTTACACTACACAGTTGGTTAAAAAAAAAAATTAAAGGACCATTTTGTTATGAAAGGGAATGGACTTAAGAACTTGGCAACAACTGGCATGATTGATGGAAAGAGAGCAAAAGAAAGGCAAAGAGATAAATATCTGCATGGCCTGGGCCAGATGGATGAGGTAAAACAAAAACATTGAACCGATCCATCATTCTGGTGATCGGGGGAGATGGCAAAACATGACAGCTTACGTTTACCAGCTTGGCATAGGATGATGATGAAAAATTAAAAGGCTTTTTTTACATCAGCTACATATTTTCATATGATGCTAAACTTATATTTTTTTTTAAACCAATCAGCACAAAGGGGTGATGTTGTCAGCATTATGTCAGCCACCTTTATCTCCCATGACATTACCTAGTACTCATTTTAGACTGGGTCAGCCTGGAAGAAAAGGTGATACATTTTTGTTGAAAAAATCCTACTCAGTGCACATTTGAACCTTATACCTTCAGACCTGCAGGAGTACATCTATTGCCTACACCACCACAGCTCCTAGTAAATTGGTGATATATTCTCATACCCATGTATGGGTTCTTGGGTCTCATTCAGGGGAAAAACAAAACAGAAAACAAAGCAGCTCAGTTTCTTTTGCAATAAAAGTGCATCTATCTGAGAAGTGAGGAACCAACAGTCTGCATACACATAAGCCAGATCTGTTGAATGGATTTGTATGCAAAGCTCAAGTTCCGGATCAGCACCACAGTGCCGGAGTGGACATAGAACCAGACATGTTTGCCAGAATTTACAGCCGGTGAATGCAAAGAAGAAGAAGAATATATTCTTATAGACCAACTACCACTCAATGGGTCATGTGTAGGGTTGCTGCATGTCCACCATTTTAGCAGACATATATTATTTTAGACACATATTTTAGCAGACATATATTATTTTAGACACATATTTTAGCAGACATATATTATTTTAGACACATATTTTAGCAGACATATATTATATTAGACACATATTTTAGCAGACATATATTATTTTAGACACATATTTTAGCAGACATATATTATATTAGACACATGTTTTAGCAGACATATATTATTTTAGACACATATTTTAGCAGACATATATTATTTTAGACACATATTTTAGCAGACATATATTATTATTATTTTAGACAGACATATATTATTTTAGACACATATTTTAGCAGACATATATTATTTTAGACACATATATTTAGCAGACCATATTAGTTTAGACACATATTTTAGCAGACATATATTATTTTAGACACATATTTTAGCAGACATATATTATTTTAGACACATATTTTAGCAGACATATATATTTTAGACACATTTTTAGCAGACATATATTATTTTAGACACATATTTAAGCAACATATATTATTTTAGACACATATTTTAGCAGACATATATTATTTTAGACACATATTTTAGCAGACTATATATTTTAGACACATATTTTAGCAGACATATATTATTTTAGACACATATTTTAGCAGACATATATTTATTTTAGACACATATTTTAGCAGACATATATTATTTTAGACACATATTTTAGCAGACATATATTATTTTAGACACATATTTTAGCAGACATATATATTTTTAGACATATTTTAGCAGACATATATTATTTTTAGACACATATTTTAGCAGACATATATTATTTTAGACACATATTTTAGCAGACATATATTATTTTAGACACATATTTTAGCAGACATATATTATTTTAGACACATATTTTAGCAGACATATATTATTTTAGACACATATTTTAGCAGACATATATTATTTTAGACACATATTTTAGCAGACATATATTATTTTAGACACATATTTTAGCAGACATATATTATTTTAGACACATATTTTAGCAGACATATATTATTTTAGACACATATTTTAGCAGACATATATTATTTTAGACACATATTTAAGCAGACATATATTATTTTAGACACATATTTTAGCAGACATATATTATTTTAGACACATATTTTAGCAGACATATATTATTTAAAACACATATTTAAGCAGATATATATTATTTTAGACACATATTTTAGCAGACATATAATATTTTAGACACATATTTTAGCAGACATATATTATTTTAGACACATATTTTAGCAGACATATATTATTTTAGACACATATTTTAGCAGACATATATTATTTTTAGACACATATTTTAGCAGACATATATTATTTTAGACACATATTTTAGCAGACATATATTATTTTAGACACATATTTTAGCAGACATATATTATTTTAGACACATATTTTAGCAGACATATATTATTTTAGACACATATTTTAGCAGACATATATTATTTTAGACACATATTTTAGCAGACATATATTATTTTTAGACACATATTTTTAGCAGACACCTATTTTATTTTAGCAGACATATATTATTTTAGACACATATTTTTAGCAGACATATATTATATTAGACACATATTTTAGCAGACATATATTATTTTAGACACATATTTTAGCAGACATATATTATTTTAGACACATATTTTTAGCAGACATATATTTTATATACACCATATTTTAGCAGACATATATTATATTAGACACATATTTTAGCAGACATATATTATTTTAGACACATATTTTAGCAGACATATATTATTTTAGACACATATTTTAGCAGACATATATTATTTTAGACACATATTTTAGCAGACATATATTATTTTAGACACATATTTTAGCAGACATATATTATTTTAGACACATATTTTTTAGCAGACATATATTATTTTAGACACATGTTTTAGCAGACATATATTATTTTAGACACATATTTTAGCAGACATATATTATTTTAGACACATATTTTTAGCAGACATATATTATTTTAGACACATATTTAGCAGACATATATTATTAAGGACACATATTTTAGCAGACATATATTATTTTTTAGACACAGATTTTAGCAGACATATATTATTTTAGACACATATTTTAGCAGACATATATTATTTTTATTTTAGATTTTAGACACATATTTTAGCAGACATATTTTATTTTACATATTTTATATATTATTTTAGACACATATTTTAGCAGACATATATTATTTTAGACACATATTTTAGCAGACATATATTATTTTAGACACATATTTTAGCAGACATATATTATTTTAGACACATATTTTAGCAGACATATATTATTTTAGACACATATTTTAGCAGACATATATTATTTTAGACACATATTTTAGCAGATATATTATTTTAGACACATATTTTAGCAGACATATATTATTTTAGACACATATTTAAGCAGACATATATTATTTTAGACACATATTTTAGCAGACTAGCAACCCTAGTCATGTAGCTAACATCACACCAAATATCTATGTTGGTACCAAGGAGTTTTCTGGCAAAAAAAAGAAAAGAATAGATCGTAACCATCTAACAAAAATTTTATAAGAGATAACTAAATAGGGTTTTACTGAAACTTAATTGGGGGGGGGGGGGGGGGGGCAAAAAAGCTTGGATATTGCAGCCTAGATATATACCACAGTACAGCGTACCAATCACCCTTTTTAGAATGAATGCAGTAGAATAAGAAGATCAGAAGAAGACAAAAAAACCATACACATTTTCTGGTATCAATATTTGGTTGGGCTGAACTAACTATAAGCTCTCAAGTCAATTATAAAAATCAGCATCAGAAAATGAATCCATGCCTAAAAGCCTACACTGTAGCCTACAAACCTCCCATGCCAGTGTGGTGAGTAATCAACAGCCTGGACACCAACAAGCAAGGTTTGTAAAACAGATGTGTATGCAGCACTCAGGTCCTGGAACATGCCTAAAGTCCGGATAGGGGCGAACAAAAACTCTCCACAGGAGTGAATGTGCAGAAGAAGAAGAAGAAGAAGAAGAAGAAGAAGAAGAAGAAGAAGAAGAAGAAGAAGAAGAAGAGCAGCAGCAGTAGCAGGAGAAGGAGAAAAGAGTGGGAAAAAAGAAGAAAAGAGAATAAAAGAAAAGGAAGGAAACAGAGGGAAGAAGGAGATGATGATGGTAATAATGACAGGAAAAAGTCTTTGACAGTGTGACTAAAATAATATATGTTTCTTTTCTTTCAGTCTTTAAGCCGCCAGTCATCACCCAGCCCAGAACCAGAATGGACTGGTATTACAGCATGTATAGTGATGTTACTGTCAACTGTTCAGCAGATGGTGTCCCTGCACCAGTGTATGTTCATTCTTTCTTTCGTTTCTTAGTTTCTTGTACTCTAGCCTAATTTTTTAAGGTACAGGCAACTTTATTTGTATGCTTGGACCTGTTTGCAGAGGCATAACTGGAGAACCTGTGTGCAGAGGCAAAACTGGAGATCCTGTGTGCAGAGGCAAAACTTGAGAACCTGTGTGCAAAGGCAAAACTGGAGAACCTGTGTGCAGAGGCAAAACTGAAGAACCTGTGTGCGTAGGCAAAACTGGAGAACCTTTGTGCAAAGGCAAAACTGGAGAACCTGTGTGAAGAGGCAAAACTGGAGAACCTTTGTACAGAGGCAAAACTGGAGAACATTTGTGCAAGGCAAAACTGGAGAACCTGTGTGCAGAGGCAAAACTGGAGATCCTGTGTGCAGAGGCAAAACTGGAGAACCTGTGTGCGTAGGCAAAACTGGAGAACCTTTGTGCAAAGGCAAAACTGGAGAACCTGTGTGAAGAGGCAAAACTGGAGAACCTTTGTACAGAGGCAAAACTGGAGAAAATTTGTGCATAGGCAAAACTGGAGAACCTGTGTTCACTGTTAAAAACATAGAATCTATTTGCAGGGATAAAAATTAAAGAACTTTTATGCATCTGTGCCGGTGTAAAAACAGAAGGCCTTGCAATCAAGAATCAGATGTAACACTTTCAAATTAATAGCAAACAGGTTACCTCATAGTTTCTCTATATCTCTGCAGATGAAAACCTCACAGAATATCCATCACTGTTCTTTGTACAAAACATACACCTGCATTAAATGCATAAGACAGCCATCTGAAGTGCTAGCACAAACAGTCCAATGCTAGAAATGCAGTTCATCATTGATGGAAGCAGCATATACAACAGATCATTAGTTGCACACGCAGTTAATCACATATGGCACCACAAGTTCTTTGCAACAACAGGCCCCTCACCATTCTTTGAATTTACAGCTCACAATAAAAACCACATTTGGCACAGTCGAAAGCATTCCAAATGAAAAACCCAGTTCACAGTGTCTCACCATGCACTCAGCTCAGTAGCTGAGCGATAGAACTAGATCCTTTCAGTCTAAATGTGGAGGAAAATTCAACAGCTAATTGTTTTCTTTTGACTCATCAGAAATCGAAATAGTTGAGAATGGAGAGTGTGAGAAGCTACAGTGAAATTCATAATCTGTTTAAACTGCCCGTAATTACTGGCATCATGAAGGCTAATAGGCTGCGGTGATTGGGGCATAGAGAGAATGGCAGATAACAAAGAGATGCAAACTACATAACAAAAGTGTTGAATGGAAATAGGCCATGAGAGAGATAAAAAAGTGGATGGAGAGATAATATACAGACCAACAAACACTTGGAGTCAGCAACTGGAAAGAGAAAAGATTTTACTTGTTCTATTCAGTGTTTACACAGTGCTGATAACTGAGCAGCAGTTGCACGGGAGTGGCAGGCCCTTGTGGTTTGCTGATGACGTCTAGGTATACCGACATGGAAGAGATTGTCAAGAGATTGCCAATGCAATGCAGAGTGAACTTGATCGCTTCTCCTCCTTGCGTGTAGATTCTAATGCTCATACCAACCCTTTTAAGGCCTCAGTAACGTGGTTCTCCTTGAACATGCATATAGTGAAGGCAGACTTACCAGCAGTGGAAAGCAGCAAGGAAATTTTGATGAGAACAAATCTAATGCCATACCTCGAAGTGAGGTTTGATCGCAGCCTGTCCTTCAAAGAACATGTTGACCATGTTATAACAAAAGCACGCAAAGGCCTGTCAGCAATTATTGTCCTATCTGCTGCTAACACAGAGCAGAGACTGCTTCTGCTTCTGTTCCTTCTTGTACTTTTCCATCGAACATGAGACTCACTGTAGCAATTATTGTCCTATCTGCCTAATCGCAGACATGCTCTCCAGAGACTTCATACTTTCTCCCATCGAACTGCTCTAGCAATCCTCACTGTCAGCAATTATTGTCCTGGCTGCCGCTAACACAGAGCAGAGACTGCTTCTGCTTCTGTTGCAGAGACTTCTACTTTCTCCCATCGAACATGCTCTAGCCGTCCTCACTGTCAGCAATTATTGTCCTGGCTGCTGCTAACACAGAGCAGAGACTGCTACTGCTTCTGTTGCAGAGACTTCTACTTTCTCCCATCGAACATGCTCTAGCCGTCCTCACTGTCAGCAATTATTGTCCTGGCTGCTGCTAACACAGAGCAGAGACTGCTACTGCTTCTGTTGCAGAGACTTCTACTTTCTCCCATCGAACATGCTCTAGCCATCCTCACTGTCAGCAATTATTGTCCTGGCTGCTGCTAACACAGAGCAGAGACTGCTACTGCTTCTGTTGCAGAGACTTCTACTTTCTCCCATCGAACATGCTCTAGCCGTCCTCACTGTCAGCAATTATTGTCCTGGCTGCTGCTAACACAGAGCAGAGACTGCTACTGCTTCTGTTGCAGAGACTTCTACTTTCTCCCATCGAACATGCTCTAGCCGTCCTCACTGTCAGCAATTATTGTCCTGGCTGCTGCTAACACAGAGCAGAGACTGCTACTGCTTCTGTTGCAGAGACTTCTACTTTCTCCCATCGAACATGCTCTAGCCGTCCTCACTGTCAGCCAATCTCAGATTGATAGGCTTGAGTAGATGCAAAATGAAACAATGTACATTATTCTGGGTTGCACTGGAGACACCTCTTATATAGCAACTAGGTAACCTTCTTGACTTCCCTACCATGAACTACAGGATCAAAATCTGGAGAGCTCGTGTTTACCCCAAGATAAGCTCAGATCTGGGGCACCCTTTGCACAACATGCTGTTCAAGAAAAAGGGCCATAGGCTTAAAAGGGGAAATTTTTGGGAAGTGCAGAGGATGACAGCATGCAGGTCTGCAGCCCAATCATGCATTCTGCTGTGTCATGACACTTGATAGAAGTTGTCGGGAGCAGAATCCCACTGTTGTCAACGCCGAGGTATGCGTGCTTATCAGTGGCAAGTCAGAGGAGTCAGATCTGCTGATCTTCGCAGACGGTTCCCTTATATGGGGACATAAAAGTGCATGGGCATTTCCTGCTCGCTTTTCAGGCAGAACAGTTCAAGAAGCCAGCGGTGCCTTCTCCATGACTAGCAGCAGCATGACGATGGAGGTGATGGCGGTGACACAAGCTTTCATGTGGCTCGGATCACATCACTATTCCCATGTGTGTGTGTGAGGAGTCATTTTTTTAGCATGATCCGGCTGGTCAAGGCTGGCTGGTTACACAGAGAGTAAATTGAGTCATTGCAAAACTTTCCTGTGTGTGCAGTTACTTTCATATTTGTCTCACGGGATGTAGGTGTTGTTTGTAATGAAAGAGTTAATTTAAGATGGCCGGCCCAGGGATCATGCAGACATTGTCAATGCCCTTAGAGAAATAGGACGTTCAGAGGATTTTGAAAGCAGCAGTCCACATCACTGCTAAGAATACGCGAACTGGGAACAAAGGTTAGTACAGCCAAGCATGAGAAGCACATTGGACACACACAAAGTCTTGTTAACCAACAGAGGACTGGTACTATTAACCATGCGACATAGATGAATATGTTGAGAGGGGAATCTGAGCACCTATGGATGTGTCTGGAGTGCTGTGAAGATAGTCTAACTCAGAAGAGCAGTCAGAGAGGTGAATGGAAGCAGGTAATATCTGCATTAATGAGCCTCAATGCCGCCTAATGCTGATGAAGAAGTACAGTAAAACTTTGAATAACCTTCACTTGTTCAGCCGTCAGTTTCTGTTAGTCCCCCATCAAATGTGCATGAATGTTGAATTAAGAATTGACATCATCGCTCTCGGGACACTCCTATAAGTCGCCCGTCCCAATCTTCAGCGGCAAGCGAATTGTTCTAATTCTGATGGTACTAGTAACTGTCTGATTATACACATGTTTCGCTTTTCCTTTGAGTATGTTGAATGGCGGCCAGATCCTCTGGTAACTCCCTCCCAAAGGGCCATCACAACATCTAGCTTGTCACACATCAGTTCACCAAAAACTGGTGCAGAACCGTCCAATCTAAATGCTTGCTCAATGTACAAAACCTTAAAGAAGATTTCATATTATTTCGAACTAATGTAGGTTTATATAGTATTACAATAAATTTGTCTGCATTACTACTCTTATATTGAAGTTTGTATTGCTCATTTTGTAGAATTAATTACTATTTTTATGTATTATTCACTTTCAAAGGATTTTATTTTCATTTTCATCCCAAGCCCGCAGAGAAATCATGTTACTGTACATATTTATTAATAGATTTTTGTTGTCGGTGTATTTGGTGATCTTTCACAGCCGTGGTTCAGGCGGTGATGGTTAATCGAAGTTTATTGCAGTCATAATGAAATCAGTTTTTGATGCGAGTCCCACCTAGCACAGTGAAGCATGAGTTGCGTTATCCTCACAACACTCCAGACATATCCATATGTGCTCAGTTTTCCCCCTCAGCATATACATATGAGTAATAGTGACAGTCCTGTGCTCGTTGACAAGATATCTCGTATTTCTGGTGTGCCTTGTATGCCTGGCTGTTTTGAATTTTACTCTCAAATCTCTTGATTTCAATGGCAATTTCTTCATGACCCATATCATTGTGACTGAAAAGTTTATGGCAATATTTATTGATTTCAACAGGTATACGTGGACAGTAAATAACCAGCCGGTTATACAAACCCCAGACATTAGTTTTGATACTGTAACTGGGACTCTGAAAATTCCATCCTTTACCACACGTGAACAAGCCACATACGTGTGCACGGCCTCCAATTCAGTCAATGGGAACAAAATTGTCAGCTATGCAGCACCTAGCAGATTATGGCAGACAAGTAAGTAATGCAGATTTGGTGATTTATGTTTGCTCATTTCTTCTTCTTGTTTTTTTTGTTTAATTATTTAATTTTTTACCTTATCTTTTACCACTTAAGGTGTCGAGGCAGATCTAAGGTTCTGCTTTGTTGCTCTTCTGACCGCCTTGACCAGAGACACAATCTGCTGTTGTAGAGTTTTTCTGATGTTATCTTTCCATATGTTCTTAGTCTACCTCATGATCTACGTCCCTTTCATCTTTCGGTTTATGCCTTGTATGGTATGAGTCTCAAGCCATTCTGGCTAAATAGGCAAATCAATTTTTTTGTTTTTTATATACTAACTTGTTATTTAGTAAGCATATTCCCCGTGTGGGTTTCAGGGTCCCTTTGGGGGGGTGGGGGGACAAGAATAGACCCCCCCCCCATCCCCCCCGTCCCCCTAAACAAACAAAAATCATGCTGTAAGACATCAATTGTGACAACATAATATAAAAACAAATGTTGTAATGTGCTCTAATTATAATTACATTTCTAAACACTGAATGGCACACATCAGCTGACCCCAATTTTGAAAAACCTGGCTATCCCAAGGGAGATAAAAAGAGACAAATTATAAATTGTAGCTTCATACCAACCACTTGTTATCAGTGTCAGAATTGGACATTGACTACAGAAACATGAAAAAAAAACTAACCACCTGTGAAATGAGATGTTTGAAAAAGGCCATGAACAAAACTAGAAGAGATGATGTGAGAAATGGGAAATTACAAGAGCTATTGGAACAATGCCTAAAAGTAATTAAATTAATTGGAAAACAAAGACTGAAATGGTTTGGCCATTTAATGAGAATGAATCCAGAGATGCCAGCAGTGACAGCACACAACATGAAAGTACAAACACCAAGTGGTAGGGAACAGTCAAGAAAAAGATGAAATTGAAGAAATTACTGATATCTTGAGACTCCACAGCATCACAGCATATCTGGCAACCGTGCGTGCCCTAACTTGGAAACATATAATCTGTAATGCCGAGTGGCACAAAGCAGGAAAGAAATTACATTAGAGAAACTCTACATCAGCATGAAGGGCCCATGATCCAGACAGTCATATGAGTGAAAACCAGAAGTCTGTATGTATCTTCCTCAGTATCTGAAGTGATAAAATAGGAAGGGAAGAAGAATGGCAAGAGGAAGTAAAGAAGAAAAAGAGGAGGAGGAGGATTTTTCCATTTATTAGTTTTTTTGTTTTACATTTTTTTAATTACAACATGAATACGACATTGCTGGTGTCCAGGACTCTTTTGTTATTGTTGTTGTGCTCATTGATAAAGGCTGTGGTTATTTTTTTTCTCCTTTACCCTTTAAAAGATGGTTGACATGTTGTGGTTTACAGCTAGACTGTGATATCTGCACATTTTGGCCCAATACATCTGATTTCAGCTAACTCCTAATTAGTCGCCTTTTGTAACAGGCTTGCTAGGGGGCAGTGGGTCTGTTATTTCCCACTTCTCAATGGGAGCCCAGAACCCACATGGGGAAAAGCTTAACTCTTTCAGTTGCAAAGAATGCATCATACGTTCATAAGTTCCTACCTAGAAGGCTAGTGAACGCAAGATGCTCTGATTTTACATGTCTCTTTACTACTTCTTGGGTCTCTGATGCTAAATCACCTGAGACTTAAGAATTAAGTCAGAGCATTCCTTTGTATTTGTGCATGCCCCCCCCCCCCCCCCAACCACCTCCTTTCATTGAGCTTCTTAGTGTCAGTGAATTTTAAAATTTTTTTTAATCATGCTGAATAATTTTTTTTTTCAGGAACAGAGATGGTGGATGAGGGAAGCATTTCACAAACTGTACCAGAACATTCCTATGTGAAAATGCAATGCAAAAAGAAAATTGTTGTTGGTTCCCAAATAAAATACAACTGGTACAGTGCCGAGAAAACAAGCATTAGTTTGGACAACAATCGGCTCTTCATTGATCTGGACGGTAAGTTGATAGCAAGCTAGACAGTATAAAGGGCGAAGTAGAGGTCTGTTTAGACGTAAGTGGGGCATCGGTCGTATGAGGCTAGACTAAGATTTTTATATGGCCACTTGATGAGTGATGTGGTCAGCATCATGCTGGCCACCTTTACTTCCCAGGAAGTAGCCATTTAAGACTGCATTGACCTTGGAGCCAAGGTCATTTATGAAAAATCTGGCTCCATGCAGTTTTGAACCCTTGACCTTAAGATTCTCAGACAAGTGTCTAGCCACTACACCATGGTGACTCCCAGGTTAGAAAGTGTAAAATTACATAAACTCTGGCAGAAAGTTTATGGTTGTTGTCTACTCCTGAACTTTGGTCTTGATCCAGAACTTGAGTTATGTGTGCACATTCGTTTTACAAATCTGGCTTGTTTCAATTAGACTGTTGGTACCTTGCCTCTCAGGCAGATGTATTCTGAATTTGAAGGGACCCTCCCTAATTAGTAGCCTCCTAGGACATGCTCGTTAGGAGAGCTGTGGGGGGGGGGTCGGTTCTTTGTTCTCCAAAAAGAGCCTCGGAACTTGCGGAGGGAGGAGGGGGGCGGTGAAGGGGGAGGGGGGGGGGTGATGATGGATAACAGAAACTGACCGTTAAATGAGCGCCCTTTAATGGATGTTTTACTGTTCTTCTTTATCAGCATTCCGAGCCCTTGTGACTCATCAGTGCAGATATCACATGCCTCCATTTAGTTTTGTGATTGGCCTTTTTTTTCCAGTTAGTGACTCTAAGTGTTTGTAGGTCTGTCTGTATATTATCTCTCCATAGCCGTCTTGCTATATTATGTTATCACAATCAACATCTTTGCACACTGAACATTCCCATGCATGCTCAGTCCTCTGATACAGCAGCTACTCCATGGTGTCTCTACTGATTGTTCCCATGAGGAGCTAGTTATAGTACCTCCTGTCTTTACCTCAAACACGGTATAGATGTGCTTCTCCAAGCTCAACTCCTTAGTCAGGCAATCATGTTGGTGGGCGGGGCGGGGAGGGGGGGGGCGTTTATATATATATATATATATATATATATATATATATATATATATATATATATATATTATATATATATATATATATAAATATTTATATATTATATATATATATATATATTATATATATATATATATATATATATATATATATATATATATATATATATATATATAAATCAATGTTTGTGTGTTTGTTTATCCCCTATAGACTCAGAAACTACTGAACCGATTTAGCTGAAATTTTCAGGATATGTTTGTTTTGATACCGGATGTTGAACCATCATGGTTTGAAATGCAACCTGTCATTGTCAGAGATAGTTTGCGACAATTTATGCCATAATATTCGAAACTAATATTTATAATTTTTGTGATTTATAATTATAGCCACGTTAGTAATTGCGCATGCGCCGTAGTCAGAACGCAAGGCTTCCACCATTCGCCGGCGAGTTACGTGCAGCCAACACCTTCTCTAATACATAGAGTATGTTGTGGTACAGCAAACAAGACTATCTCTATATTTGCCTCAATAACCATATAAAACACAATTTTTATTTTCTGTTTTTTTTTTATTTCAAACAACCTTTGATGGGGGGTGGGGGGGGGGGGGGGGGGGGGGCATCAAGGACTATCTCGACGTCGGCGCAGACATTGACTGCGACATTGACTTTATTAACCCTGTTAGACATGAGCGATTTCTATTGTTGTGCCGTTTCATTAATATATCTGGAGTATCTGTCTACAAGAAAACAATTGCCTGCGGTTTTGAGTTGTGTTATAATCGGGACACAGTAGTAGGGACACACATCTCCAATAGTTTAGTTCTCTTTTCGGTCCTCCGATTAAGTGGCTGCTTGGTCGAATGGTTAGAACACTGGGTTCCCGTGTGTTCATTTCCTAATTATGGTGTTTTTTCCTGTGTTCGTTTGCTTTTCAAGTGTTTTTTTTTTCTCCCAACTACTTCAATGAGGGAAAGAGTTGTCGGTGAAGGTAAAGAGGGGGGGGGGGGGTGCAAACTATTAACTGAGAGAGCTTTAAGTCACAGTAACTGCTTAACCCACTTAAAGTAGCAGCAGCAGTAATAGTTGTGGTTGGGCTGTTACACCATAGTGCTCTCATGTGAAGACCGCTGGTAAGGTTATGGCATTCTTCTGTCGGCAAGTGAAATTATACATCCTAACCTGACCAGTCTGTGGCGACAGCACTAGCCATGCGGAACCAAATCTTCTGGCTCACGACTCTCTGTCTACTCCTATGGTAACACAGATAGCAGTGACATTATTTTAGCTACTGTGGTGGTGGTCGTGGTAGTAGTTGTACTGGTACTTGAATGATGATGTGGATAATATTACACTAGCCCCATTCACTACCTATTACAATTCCTGCTCCCCATTTTAGTCCGGATGGACAGGGATGTCAATGTCAGTTACAGCAACAAAAAAATATCGCCAATAATGATTTTCAAATCCTTCGGAGAGGGAGAGAGCAGTAGTCGGTGGAAGAGGGGAGGGGAGGATGTAATGACTTAAATTTAAGAGAACTTAAAGAGCTTTATACATGATTTTCAAGTTCTCATTACCTAATTTGTTTATATTTTACTAACGCTACCTCCGCTTTTCTATTTTTTACGACTTACTTTGTTATTCACAAGTACAGTTGTAGCTTTACTTCCGTCCCCTATAAAAATACAAACAGCTTTAGCATGTGATAACCAAATAACCATTTTTGTTACTGTGCTAATAACACCATTTAAACGACCACTAATATAAAGACACAATTATAAGGTGCGTGTTCTAAAGTTGGAAAACCAGACTATCTCTATATCTGTGCAGAAAATGATTGCGACATTAACTATATTAGACACATGCGATTTCCATTGTCTTTTTTTTTCCAAAAACCTTTGATGAGGGAGAGAGTAGTAGGTGGATTTAGTTGTGGTGGTTAGGGGGGGGGGGATCAAAGACTATCTCTATATCTGAGCAGACAATGATTGTATTAGACACGTGCGATTTCTATTTTCTTTCATTTTTATTTAGCTAAACTATGCCACAGCATTGCGTGGCCGGGTACAGCTAGTATATATATATACCCCAACCACCACAACTATATATATATACAGAAGAACAGAAGCTGGGTGAGCAAGTACTGTGCTTTACACTCTTGTAGGAAACCCGTGTTTAAATCTTCCTTGAAATAATGGATTTTTTTTTCTGTCTAGGGCAAATAAAATCCTCATTTGCCCAGTTTCTGGTAATTGCACTAGCCATTTATCCTTGAATCAGGTTCTGCATTTAAGTACAGAAGTGCATTTAAGTACAGAAGTGCATTTAAGTACAGAAGTGCATATAGGTACAAAAGTGCATTTAAGTACAGAAGTGCATTTAAGTACAGAAGTGCATTTAAGTACAGAAGTGCAATTAAATACAGAAGTGCATTTAAGTATTTTGATTTGATTAGATTCAAGAACCGACATCACAGCACTCGGGGCATTCCCATAAGCACTCCGTCACCATCTTCAGCAGTCAGCGAAGAGTTCCAATACTAATGGTGACAGTAGCTTTCTGATTAAACGTCCGTCTTGCCTTTCCTATGAGCCTCGAGCACCTGCCAGAACCTCTCGTCATCCCCAACTGCATCAATCTCACCAGACTGTGGTGATCCATCTGCTCCTCTGAATTGAACACGCTCTCCCACAAGGCACTGACCACGTCTGCCCTATCATGTATCAGTATTCCACCAAGTTGTGCAGAGCCAGCCAGTCTGTCTGCCTGTTCATTTCAATTAAGTACAGAAGTGCATTTAAGTACAGAAGTGCAATTAAGTTCAGAAGTGCAATTAAGTACAGAAGTGCATTTAAGTACAGAAGTGCATTTAAGTACAGAAGTGCATTTAAGTACAGAAGTGCATTTAAGTACAGAAGTGCATTTAAGTACAGAAGTGCATTTAGGTACAGAAGTGGACGAACAGCCAGGACTTTCCACCAAAATTTACAGCTAGTGAAGTGCTAAGATACAGCCATGAATTTGCAACAGCATCTCACATTCCAAATAATATGAGAATCAGCATTGAAAATACAGAAGTATTGTCAATAGGAAGAAAGAAGCAGGATTTAAACATAGCATTAGAGCATACTTATATTAAACAGGCATCTGAGTTTAAATATCTTGGGACAACATTCACAGAAGATGGTAAATTGGATGAAGAATTTGACATCCGATGCAGTAAAGCAGGCCAAGTATTAGGACAGCTAGCTCCCCTCTTACAACATTAGGCAATCCTTGTCAGCATAAAGAAACATCTCATACAAAGTATATTCATTCCCACCCTATGCTACCAGTGCCAGACCTGGTCACTCCATCAAAACATAAAAGAAAATTAGTAACAATGGAAATGAGGTGAAGGAGAAAGACTGTAGGAGTGACCAGAAGAGATAAAATCAGGATCGAGGTCATACAAGATAAAGCTAGCACAGAACTAATTCTAAATTACATACAAAGACAGCAAATAAAATGGAGAGAATGCCTTCTGATGCTATACCATACAATGCATATACCAAAAGAGGAGAGGAGTGTAGAGCAAGAGGTAGACCAAGAACAAGATGGGAAGATAATATCAGAGAAACTCTACAGCACCCCGATGTGTCTATGGTTGAAGCAGCCAGAAGAGCACCAAGCAGGAACTTATATCTACCTCGGCACCTGAAGTGGTAAATGAGGATGTAAAGAAGAAGAAGAAGAAGAAGAATGCTAAGAAAAAGAAGAAGAAGAAGAAGAAGAAGCAGCCTAAGTAAACCTCAGAGGGTAAAAAATAAATCTTATGTTTCAAAAAACTTCTTTTACTCCTTTTAGGAAATCTCCATTTCACATACGTAATTGTCAACGACCAGATCCTGAACTACATGTGTGGTATCTCTGCAGCTCAAGATAGGGCAATTATTCTCGGCACAAGAAATAATGTTGTTGTAACTGGAAACTCTAGTAAGTAAAATTAAATAAACTTATTCTGTTTTCTTCTTAACTTGAAAGGAAATTGTTTGGTATGGCTTCACTGTCCTTTTTACCCACAGTCACCAGTATTATTATCATCATCACTGTCGTTAACATCATCATCATCATCACCATCATCATCACTGCTGTCATCATCTACAACATCATTCTTAACATCACTGTTGTCATCAGCATCATCATCATCACAGTTGTCATTTACATCATCATCACTGTCATCATCTACATCATCAACACTGTCATCATCTACATCATTATAACTGTCATCATCTACATCATCATCATCATCATCATCACTGTTGTCATCCACATCATCATCACTGTCATCATCTACATCATTATAACTTTCATCATCTACATCATCATCATCATCACTGTTGTCATTTACATCATCATCACTGTTGTTATCTGCATCATCATCACTGTCATTATCTACATCATCATCACTGTTGTCATCTACATAATCATTATCATCATCATCATCGTCATCATCACTGTTGTCATCTACATAATCATTATCATCATCATCATCATCATCATCATCATCATCATCATCAACAACAACATCACCATCATTATCACCATCATCATCAATATCATCATCTACATCATTATCATCACTGTCATCATCTACATCATTATCATCACTGTCATCATCATTATCATCACTGTAATCATCTACATCATCATCATCACTGTCATCATCTAAATCTTCATCATTATCACTGTCATCATCATCAACATCATCATCATCATCCTCATCACTGTCATCATCTACATCATCATTAACATCATCCTCCTCATCATCACTGTCATCATCTAAATCATTACTGTCATCATCTACATCATCATCTTCATTATTATCATTATCACTGTTGGCATTTACATCATCATCACCACCATCATCATTATCATCACCATCATTATCATCACCAACTATATCACCCCCGCCATCATCAACATTATCAGCATCACCACCACTGCCTTGGCAGCTATGAACCTCTTTTAACTACAGTGAAAAGGCAGGGGTTTGAACATATAATAAGATTATGTATGAAATCTCCAGGTCTTGCTGGTGTTGTGGGATTTGAGCAAACAGATAGACTAGTTGGTTCTGCACCACTTGGTGGTGAACTGATGTATGACAAGCTGTCACACAAGATGTCAGGGCTCTTTAGGAGCAAGTGAACAGTGCAGAGGCACAAATAGACCATTACGTCTGAGGAGAATGGCGCTGTGGGGAATTACTAGGGGATCTGGCTGATGGTCAACACTCAGGGGAAAAGGCAAGACAGATATACAATCAGACAATTACTGGTACTATCAGAACTGGATCTCTTTGTTTGTTGCTGAAGATGGGGATGGAGCCCTTTTGGAAGTGTCCCCAGTGCTGTGATGTGGATTGTAAATTCAACATTCAACATGTTATAAGATTTAACGACCTCTCAAAGACAATACTACAGGGCTCAGTAGAAGGAAAGAGGGAGATCAAGAAAGATCTGGATACAGAACTTGACAGACTGGACAAGCCTTAGGCATGCAACCGTGAAGTCCACTGCATCTGACCGTCGAAGGTGAATGGAGCTGATCAGACAGTCGACAGCAACTGGTGAGCCAACGACATGCGATGTTACGGGATGATAATGATGATCACCACCAGAATGACTGTAATGTTAACCACCAACACTGTCTGTCATCATTTTAATTACTAGCTTCTTCATCCATCACTGCTACTACTACTTCCACAGCCGCTGCCACCACCACCACCACCGCTGCCACAACCACCATCTTTGCTCCCACCACCACCACCACCGCTGCCACTACACCACCACCACCACTGCCACTACCACCACCACCGCTGCCACTACCACTACCACCGCTGCCACCACCACCACCACCGCTGCCACTACCACCATCTTTGCTAACCACCGCTGCCACTATCACCATCTTGCTCCCACCACCACCAACCGCTGCCACCACCACTATCTTTTCCCACCACCACCACCACCACCACCGCTGCCACCACCACCACCACCGCTGCCACTACCACCATCTTTGCTCCCACCACCATCACCACCGCTGCCACTACCACCATCTTTGCTCCCACCACCACCACCACCGCTGCCACCAACAACACCACCACCACTCTCAGCACCAACATATGCAGCATCACCACCTCTGTGAGGGAGGCCAGAACTGCTGGACTGGACTTCATACACAATATAAAACATTATTTCACTGCATAGAATAGAATGGAGGAATTCACTATGGACCCTATGTTTCATATCGAAGAACACAAATGGGTGATGATGTTGAAAAAGTCGGCATTTAGAAAAGCATGCTTGCCTATACCTGCCAGGAAGGCAGTTGATGTTGTTGATGATTTTTATCTCATTTCTTTCTGTCCATAAGTATTTGTCTTTTTTTCTTCTTTGCTTCACTTTTTTACCGCTTCGGTTGTCGAAGGAGATGTTAGGTTCTACTTTTTTTCTGTTCTGGCCCGCCATGACCAGAGTCACATCATGCTGTTGTAGAGTTTCTCTGATGTTATTTTTTTCATCTTGGTCTTGGTCTTCCTCATGCTTCATGCCCTTCTCCTCTTTTAGCGCATTCTTTTATGGTACGGCATCACAAAGCATTCTCTCTCTTAGTGATAAACCATGTGATTTGGTGTCTTTGTATATAATTTATAATTGATTCTGTGCCAGATTGTTCTCTGGTGACCTTTCACCTCTTCTGGTCATGCAGGCAACACTTCTCTGACGTCATTGGTTGATAATCTTCTTTTCTGGTTTTTTGCTAGGGGCCATGTCTGGCCCTGATAGCACTGGGGATGAATATTATTTGATATATCCCTAAGTATAACATCAGCAAACTCCATCAGCAAACTCCATCAGCAAACTCCATCAGCAAACTCCATCAGCAAATGTAATGATTTATCAGAAACAAAATGACATTATCACATTTCCAAATATCTTGCCCATTAAATTGTATATTGACAAGGCAAACATGACATTTTTATCTGATATAAATGATATTGTGTCACATTTTCAGATATCTAAAAAATGTGTATTTATTAAACAAATGTGACATTGTTTTTATCTGATACAAAATGACATTGTCACATTTTCAGATATCTAATAAAATCTGTATTTATTAAACATATTTGACATTTTTTTTTATCTGATACAAAATGATTTTGTCACATTTTCAGATATCTAATAAAATCTGTATTTATTAAACAAATGTGACATTGTTTTTATCTGATACAAAATGACATTGTCACATTTTCAGATATCTAATAAAATCTGTATTTATTAAACAAATGTGACATCATTTTTATCTGATACAAAATGACATTGTCACATTTTCAGATATCTAATGAAATCTGTATTTATTAAACAAATGTGAGATTTTTTTTTATCTGATACAAAATGACATTGTCACATTTTCAGATATCTAATAAAAACTGTATTTATTAAACAAATGTGATATTTTTTTTTTATCTGATACAAAATGACATTGACACATTTTCAGATATTTCACCTATTAAACCGCAAGCAGTGTATACTAATAATGGAGTCAAAGGGATGAGGTTTTCCACAGCCAAGCTTGAGTGTATGTTTTCTGGATAGTAAGTACAATTATTAACATTTATTACAATTGTGTTTATCATTTATTAGGGATGTGTTTCATTTTCACTGATTAAACCTATATAATAAACCCATATAATAAAATTATATATCTATCAGTAAACCTATCTATATACATCTCCAAGTCTGTGTAAATTATATTCAAAGGCTTATGCACATTTGCTTTTAATGCTCTTCTTTATATATTGTTTATGATAAAACATGTTGAAACCTTTCCTGAAACATTCCTTTTAAAACAACTGATTCCATATCCCCACCATATTATGCACACATGTTTCTATTTCTTTTCTCCTTGTATACATTAAGATGCATATGTTTAAACCTTTTCTTTAACATTCCTTTTTATAACACTGACTCAATGTTCCCATCATCTTATATACATTTGTTTTTAGCTCTCTCCTCTGTATGTTAGCTAAAATAAAAACATATTAAAATTTTTCCTTTAATATTCCTTTTATAACGGCTGACCCAGTATTCCATCTTATAAACATATGTTTTTGACTCTCTTTTCTGTGTATTAACTAAGATAAAACATTGTTTTAAATCTGTTCTTTAACATTCCTTTGATAACAGCGATCCACAATCACCATACATCCCAGCAATAACTTGGCGTGATGATTCTGGCAAGATAATTGAAACAAAAGAGCCCAAATACATTTTGTCTGAGGATAGGAGGACACTGACTATCACCAACTTACAGGAGGAGGATGAGCGGACGTACACATGTGAAGCCAGGAATTCTGCAGGAGACGCTTCTGCTCAAGTGTTCCTCAATGTCACATGTAAGTTTATCTCTCGATTGTAGCAGACGGTCATGGCTGGCATCAATTTTGTTACCACTGTTATCACTACACATGTCATCATCATCATTATCTTTGTTTTTATATTCTTTCTTCTTTTTCTTCTTCTTCAGCATTCTGAGCCCTTGAGGTTCATTGCTGCAGAGATGCCTCCATTCATCTCTCTGGTTAGCCTTTTCTTTCCAGTTGGTGACACCAAGTGTTTGCAGGTCTGCCTGGACATGATCTTTCCATCGTCTTCTTGGTCTGCCTCGTGGTCTACGACCATTCATCTCTCTTGTGTATACAGTTTTTACTTCTCTGTCATCTGACATTCTCTCAACATACCCCAAAAATTTCAGTCTATTAGCTCTCATGAAGCCAGTGATTGCTTCTCACTCTCCATTCCCCACTATTTGCACCTTCTTTATCATGAATAATGTTTATTAACCCCTGTGTGGGTTTTGGAACCTATTGTGGACATCTGTGAAGATGTTCCCTGTCTGTTACACATCCCTGCGAAGATGCATCGCTGTCTGTTACACATCCCTGTGAAGATGTATTGATGTCTGTTACACATCCCTGTGAAGATGCATCACTGTCTGTTACACATCCCTGTGAAGATACATCTCTGTCTGTTACACATCCCTGTGAAGATGCTTCACTGTCTGTTACACATCCCTGTGAAGATGCATCACTGTCTGTTACACATCCCTGTGAAGGTGCATCTTTGTCTGTTACACATCCCTGTGAAGATGCATCTCTGTCTGTTACACATCCCTGTAAAGATGTTCTCTGTCTGTTACACATCCCTGTGAAGATGTATCGCTGTCTGTTACACATCCCCTGTGAAGATGTTTTCTGTCTGTTACACATCCCTGTGAAGATGTTCTCTGTCTGTTACACATCCCTGTGAAGATGCATCTCTGTCTGTTACACATCCCTGTGAAGATGTTCTCTGTCTGTTACACATCCCTGTGAAGATGCATTGCTGTCTGTTACACATCCCTGTAAAGATGCATTGCCATAGTGGCCAGTCTCTGACAAGTCTCTCTGTCTGTCACACATCCCTGTTTGTACCTGCACAGTGTTTCACATAGGGCCAGATATGTTTTTATCTGTTACACATCCCAAAAGATTTGGTATGGGAGGACATCCCTGTGAAGATGCATAGATGTCTGTTACACATCTCTTGAAGATGTAAGCGATCTGTTACACAACTGTGACCATGATCTTCATGGTACACATCACTGTGAAGATGTAATCTTCTGTTACAAGGCTCTATGTGAATGGAATTTGTAATCTCTGTCTGATGCTTTATCCCTGTGAATGATTACCTATCTGTTTCATACATCCCTTCTAAAGATGTTTTCTATATGTTACACATCCCTGTAATATGTTCTCTATCTGATAACATCCCTGTGAAGATGCATCTCTGTCTGTTACACATCCCTGTGAAGATGTTCTCTATCATGTACACATCCCTGTGAAGATGCATCTGTGTCTGTTATAGAGGCAGGTGGCATGCAGCAGTCTATGTGCTGTTAGACTTCCCTGAAGATGATGATGATGATTACACATCCCTGTAAAGATATTCTATGTCTGTTACACATCCCTGTGAAGATGCATCACTGTCTGTTATACATCCCAGTGAAGATGCATCTCTGTCTGTTACATATCCCCATGAAGATGTTTTCTGTCTGTTACACATCCCTGTGAAGATGTTCTCTGTCTGTTACAAATCCCTGTGAAGATGCATCACTGTCTGTCACACATCCCTGTGAAGATGTTCTCTGTCTGTTACACATCCCTGTGAAGATGCATCACTGTCTGTCACACATCCCTGTAAAGATGCATTGCCATAGTGGCCAGTCTCTGACAAGTCTAGTTAATGTCATTGATTCTGTTTGTACCTGCACAGTGTTCAGTAGGGCCAGATAGGATTATATTTACCAAACCAAACATTTGGTATGGGAGGAGGGGGGTGGTTGCAGAAATAGATCAAACTTCTCTTTTAAGCTTAAGCGATCACTTAGCAACAGGACCATGATTTTATGGTATGTCACCATATAATTTTTTTTTTAAGGCTCTATGGAATGGAATTTTTAATACTTTGTTGCTTCATACTGAATGATTACCGCTCCTTTTCATACATATCTTCTAAAAATGCATATGTAAATCATAATAATAAAAATGATAATAATAATGATTTAAAAGATATTACTAACTTGTGTAAAATAGTTGTTGTGTATGTGCTCATGTGCATGCGTGCGTGCATGTGTTGTGTGAATAGAGGCAGGTGGCATGCAGCAGTGAAGTCCAAGTGCTTGAAGAAGATGAAGAAGATAATGATGATGATTACACACACACACACACACAAATAAAACTAGAAAAAACGGAGTGAATGAACAAACAAACAAACTTTATTTTCATAGGGTTAGGAACTGAGCTTGCAGGCCCGTCTGACATTCTGCCCTTCCAGTCTCATTCCTTGCATGCAGTTACTCATTCCTTGCATGCAGTTACTCATTCCTTGCATGCAGTTACTCATTCCTTGCATGCGGTTACTCATTCCTTGCATGCAGTTACTCATTCCTTGCATGCAGTTACTCATTCCTTGCATGCAGTTACCCATTCCTTGCATGCAGTTACTCATTCCTTGCATGCAGTTACCCATTCCTTGCATGCAGTTACTCATTCTTACATCATTTCATAGGTAATAAAAATATTTTCAATCACATCTAAATCTTAGTTACAAGTGCTGGAATGTGCTCTAATAATACTCAAATTACTAAACATACACATAAAAAAAGCCACAAACAAAAAATGATGATGATGAAGAAGAAGAAGAAGAAGAAGTAGAAAAAGAAGAAGAAGAAGAAAAACAGATACAGAGAGCCACTAATATACATATCATATATTAGTTTTCAGCAAATTGTTAAACTGTCAGCCATTTTTTTCCATTCAGCCGGCCCCATCTTTATCAATGGTCAGCCAATAGATCAGACAGTCTCCCAGTACAACACTGTCCAGTTCAATTGTGATACCAGGTCTGCCTCACGTGAAGATCCTCCATCACCTCCAGCTTGGTTCATTAATGGCCAGGCATGGGGGTCACAGATAGGTAAGTCAGTCAGGATATAAGATTTGGTGAATGCAGGCTGACAAAAAGACTGAAATTTTGATAGAGGGTGAGAATGAGAATGTATGAGAGTTTGGTAAATAGAAGATGAGCATGACAAAGCATGAAAAGGTTATTATTAGAGACTGACAGTTAACATGTCCGGAAATCTGAAAAATTAATGGTGAGAATGTCTGGAAATATGATAAATAAATGGTGAGAATGTCTGGAAATCTGCTAAATAAATGGTGAGAATGTCTGGAAATCTGATAAATAAATGGTGAGAATGTCTGGAAATCAGATAATAAAATGGTGAGAATGTCTGGAAATCAGATAATAAAATGGTGAGAATGTCTGGAAATATGATAAATAAATGGTGAGAATGTCTGGAAATCAGATAATAAAATGGTGAGAATGTCTGGAAATCTGATAAATAAATGGTGAGAATGTCTGGAAATCAGATAATAAAATGGTGAGAATGTCTGGAAATCAGATAAATAAATGGTGAGAATGTCTGGAAATCAGATAAATAAATGGTGAGAATACCTGTTGTTAGAATTCTAGTTGACGGAGAATGAAAATTTCTAAATTGTGGGTAGCAGAGGCTCAGAATAATATTGTCTAAAATTGTGATCAACAGAGGCTCAGAATGACAGTGTCTAACATTTTAATCAACAGAGGCTCAGAATGACAGTGTCTAACATTGTCTAATCAACAGAGGCTCAGAATGACAGTGTCTAACATTGTCTAATCAACAGAGGCTCAGAATGACAGTGTCTAACATTGTCTAATCAACAGAGGCTCAGAATGACAGTGTCTAACATTGTCTAATCAACAGAGGCTCAGAATGACAGTGTCTAACATTGTCTAATCAACAGAGGCTCAGAATAACAGTGTCTAACATTGTCCAATCAACAGAGGCTCAGAATGACAGTGTCTAACATTGTCTAATCAACAAAGGCTCAGAATGACAGTGTCTAACATTGTCTAATCAACAGAGGCTCAGAATGACAGTGTCTAACATTGTCTAATCAACAGAGGCTCAGAATGACAGTGTCTAACATTGTCTAATCAACAGAGGCTCAGAATGACAGTGTCTAACATTGTCCAATCAACAGACGCTCAGAATGACAGTGTCTAACATTGTCTAATCAACAGAGGCTCAGAATGACAATGTCTAACAATTTTATCAACAGAGGCTCAGAATGACAGTGTCTAACATTGTCTAATCAACAGAGGCTCAGAATGACAGTGTCTTACATTTGTATCAACAGAGGCTCAGAATGACAGTTTCTAACCATGTCTAATCAACAGAGGCTCAGAATGACAGTGTCTAACATTGTCTAATCAACAGAGGCTCACAATGACAGTTTCTAACCATGTCTAATCAACGGAGGCTCAGAATGACAGTGTCTAACCATGTCTAATCAACAGAGGCTCAGAATGACAGTTTCTAACCATGTCTAATCAACAGAGGGTCAGAATGACAGTTTCTAACCATGTCTAATCAACAGAGGCTCAGAATGACAGTGTCTAACATTGACTAATCAACAGAGGCTCAGAATGACAGTGTCTAACATTGTCTAATCAACAGAGGCTCAGAATGACAGTGTCTAACATTGTCTAAACAACAGAGGCTCAGAATGACAGTGTCTAACATTGTCTAATCAACAGAGGCTCAGAATGACAGTGTCTAACATTGTCTAATCAACAGAGGCTCAGAATGACAGGATCTAACATTGTCTAATCAACAGAGGCTCAGAATGACAGTGTCTAACATTGTCTAATCAACAGAGGCTCAGAATGACAGTGTCTTAAATTTTTATCAACAGAGGCTCAGAATGACAGTGTCTAACCATTGTCTAATCAACAGAGGCTCAGAATGACAGTGTCTAACATTGTCTAATCAACAGAGGCTCAAAATGACAATGTCTAACATTGTCTAATCAACAGAGGCTCAGAATGGCAGTGTCTAACATTTTTATCAACAGAGGCTCAGAATGGCAGTGTCTAACATTTTTATCAACAGAGGCTCAGAATGACAGTGTCTAACATTGTCTAATCAACAGAGGCTCAGAATGACAGTGTCTAACATTGTCTAATCAACAGAGGCTCAGAATGACAGGATCTAACATTGTCTAATCAACAGAGGCTCAGAATGACAGTGTCTAACATTGTCTAATCAACAGAGGCTCAGAATGACAGTGTCTTAAATTTTTATCAACAGAGGCTCAGAATGACAGTTTCTAACCGTGTCTGATCAACAGAGGCTCAGAATGACAGTGTCTAACATTGTCTAATCAACAGAGGCTCAAAATGACAATGTCTAACATTGTCTAATCAACAGAGGCTCAGAATGGCAGTGTCTAACATTTTTATCAACAGAGGCTCAGAATGGCAGTGTCTAACATTTTTATCAACAGAGGCTCAGAATGACAGTGTCTAACATTGTCTAATCAACAGAGGCTCAGAATGGCAGTGTCTAACATTTTTATCAACAGAGGCTCACAATGACAGTGTCTAACATTTTTATCAACAGAGGCTCAGAATGACAGTGTCTAACATTTTTATCAACAGAGGCTCAGAATGGCAGTGTCTAACATTTTTATCAACAGAGGCTCAGAATGACAGTGTCTAACATTTTTATCAACAGAGGCTCAGAATGACAGTGTCTAACATTGTCTAATCAACAGAGGCTCAGAATGACAGTTTCTAAAAATTTGATTATCTGACTCCAAGAATGAGACTGTGTGAAATGTGATATACAGAGAGTAAAACTGAAAATGCCAATAATTGGAATTTAGATTAATAAAGACAGATTGATAATTTGATTAATTGAGGCTTAGAATGTTAATGTTTTGGGGAAGAAAAAAATCTAAAGGATACTCACTACTCATGAAGAACTATAAAAAAAAAATATTGACTTGTTTTCTGTAAACAGATCCTAACAAGTTTGAACTGTCTCCTGATAACAAGATATTGACAATCAAGAATGTGACCAAACCAAATGACATTATGTGCATTCAGTGCAATGTCTCCAACTCCGAAGACTCTATCTTGGCAAACGCATGCCTCAATGTTCTGTGTAAGTATCATGTTATTGAATTAGTATTAGCAAACACACAGCAGCTAGACACTTCTCTGTTGGCTCAAAGATCTTGAGTTCAAATCTAAATGAAGTCAGATGAAAAAAACATTATTGACATTTGCTGCCAGTATTCTTTTGTGTTTTTTCTACGTTCACCCTTAAAATAACAGTTGGTACGGTGTGTTGTGGTTTACAGCTAAGCTATGACATCTGCACCTTTCAGCTTAACGTATTCATTTTCAGAAAATCTTAATTAATCACCTATTATGACACACTTTTTAACTCTTTGTAACAGTCTGCAATTACTTCTACCCCAAGAATGTCTAATATCTTCTTCTTGTGCGTTCATCCAAAGATGTAATTACTTGTGCCTGTTTACAGCATGGCTGCAACATTTGCACCTTTCGGCCAACACATACGACTTCTGCAGACATTTGTTGCCCAGGTTTGCCTTCCCCGTGATTGTCTAGTATAATATTGCCAATGTTGAATTCAAAATAATTTAAGATACTGACCTATTGCTGGGTTGTTCAGCATTTTTTAATCACTGGAGTTTAAAACTCGAGATTTGTTCCGTTTTCAAAATGGCGGACAGCAGCTGTGTTTATTTTTGCTGGCTGTCAATTCTCTAGGATTATTCTGTCTCATAATCATAAACTGTTATTTTATGCGCATTTCCAACACAGGATATTATGTGTTTTTCGTGGGAACAGCGTGTATTGTGGTTGTGCTGTGTCGGGGCGGGATAATGACTGATAGTCTTGGCAGCCTCGGCCACGCTGCTTTCGCAGTGTTTTGATCGCGGCGGTCCACTTGGGAAGACAGAATCTCATCAGCAGGGGACTGCAACTGTCTAGAGAGCAAACTCGATAAAAGCTGTCCCCAGAAACGGAATGTGTCAACCATATATTTGGTGGGGAGGAATCGACACATACGGTTAACTCAATGGCCATGGCCAAAACTCGAGATTTAAGGACTGTCTTTTTCTATATTATAGGCAACTGTGAAAAATACTCAGTATATGCAGGCCCACTTTTGTTGTATGAGACGCAGCCTAATTTTTAAGGCCTATTTCAAGAGGAAAAAAGAGAACAGATGCCTCTTATACTCTGACAAATAGGATAATTTCACTGTGAAGCAGTGTAAACTAACAATTCTGAAATAAAAAGTTAATAAAAATAATATGTGCATTGGACAAGGCTGGATTTAGACTTGATGAGGCCCTAAACTGTATTCAGCCCTGAGGCCCCTGTGGTTTGAAATTATACGTTAATCTCAGAAAACGTAAAAATTTATAAGTTAATGAAAGGAGAAAATTGTTGCATAAAATGCTGATTGTGTTTTTAAATATAGATAACATGACTTTTTTTCAAAAATGACCTTGACTTCCAGGTGGACCCAGCCTTAAGTGGGTACCGGGTGCAGTCCCGGGAAGTAAAAGCGGCCGGCATGATGCTGACCACATCACCCATCTTGTGTCGATTGGTCTATAAAAATATAGGTCTAGCCCTCTATGCCCTATATGCCCAAAGGCGTAGAAAATGCACCTTTACTTTAAAAAAAACAAATTAGAATAAATCAAAGTCTGAGACAATGCACCCAAAATAATAATAATAAAACTGGAACATTTCTGGGGAAAAAAAACCCACACATTTCTACTCTCCTTTCTTATGTAAACAAAAAGTTAACATGATCAGTCTGAAGTTACCATGGTAATCACATGACTGATTTGGATTTTGAATTTCTGGTGGCACAAGGTTACAGGGGTTGTTACACCAGATTATCAATGGCCGGATATTTTTATGTCAACCTATAGTGATTTTTGTCTAAATAAAATCCTGTTTAACCGTCATGTTTTAATTGGTATATATAGTCAATTGTATTTTCAGAATATAAGTTTGCTGTTTTATATATTGAATTTTCATTTCTTCCCAGTTATAAAATTGTATCATTATTATTTTAAATTCACATCTTACAAGAATTTTGCTTTGTACTATTGATTCATTAAATAGGCACTTTTATTCTTGTGTTATACTGTTTCACCTTTCCCTTTAGTTTTCTATGTCTATCTTTCTTATCATGGGTTCATATTTATAAAACTACATATAACTGGTTTTCCTTCAGTGCCCATAAAAATTGAAAGAGAACCTAAACTGGAACAGTCCATTGTCTATGGGGATAACTTGGATTTTACAGTTACAGCATCTACAGATCCTGCTATGACTTTGAGTTACAGGTAACTAAATGGTACTACCTATGTACCCTCCTATCTCTGTACCCATGTCTACTTGTGTACCCTCCTATCTCTGTACCCATGTCTACCTATGTACCCTCCTATCTCTGTACCCATGTCTACCTGTGTACCCTGCTATTTCTGTACCCATGTCTACCTATGTACCCTCCTATCTCTGTACCCATGTCTACCTGTGTACTCTCCTATCTCTGTACCCATGTCTACCTGTGTACTCTCCTATCTCTGTACCCATGTCTACCTATATACCCTCCTATCTCTGTACCCATGTCTACCTATGTACCCTACTATCTCTGTACCCATGTCTACCTATGTACTCTCCTATCTCTGTACCCATGTCTACCTATGTACCCTCCTATCTCTGAACCCATGTCTACCTATGTACCCTCCTATCTCTGTACCCATGTCTACCTATGTACCCTCCTATCTCTGTACCCATGTCTACCTATGTACCCTACTATCTCTGTACCCATGTCTACCTATGTACTCTCCTATCTCTGTACCCATGTCTACCTATGTACCCTCCTATCTCTGTACCCATGTCTACCTGTGTACCCTCCTATCTCTGTACCCATGTCTACCTGTGTACCCTCCTATCTCTGTACCCATGTCTACCCACCTATCCATGTACCAGTATCTGCCTATGTACCCGCCTATCTCTGTACCCATGTCTACCTATGTACCCTCCTATCTCTGTACCCATGTCTACCTATGTACTCTCCTTTCTCTGTACCCATGTCTACCTATGTACTCTCCTTTCTCTGTACCCATGTCTACCTATGTACTCTCCTTTCTCTGTACCCATGTCTACCTATGTACTCTCCTTTCTCTGTACCCATGTCTACCTATGTACTCTCCTTTCTCTGTACCCATGTCTACCTATGTACTCTCCTTTCTCTGTACCCATGTCTACCTATGTACTCTCCTTTCTCTGTACCCATGTCTCTACCTATGTACTCTCCTTTCTCTGTACCCATGTCTACCTATGTACTCTCCTTTCTCTGTACCCATGTCTACCTATGTACTCTCCTATCTCTGTACCCATGTCTACCTATGTACCCGCCTATCTCTGTACCCATGTCTACCCACCTATCCATGTACCAGTGCCTGCCTATATACCTACTTACTCAAGTACCAGTCTACTCATGTACCTGCCTACCTATCCCCCCCCCCCCCCCCCGCCCCCCAGTGATATAATCTCTGAGATTATTAAAATCTGAGTATGTAGTTTATAATTCATTACCTTTTACTGAGTGTAATGTAAATAGAATGTGGAGTATATGACTCATTTTCATGCCCTTATGCATTTTGGGTATATAGCCCTGACCTATATTTTATTGATCAGTCTGAACTCAGTTGGTGATTTTGTAAGTGTCACATGTATGATTATTATAAGAATTCACTTTTATATAAATATAAAGGTAATGATCATGTTTATTATATAATCTTGTTTTCTTCCCCCCAATCTCTGTAGCTTAGGAGTTCCCAATGCAGTTTATAACTCCGAAAAACCTGGTTGGGAGAGAAATGGCAGGAGGCCTTGTTTTATTGATGTGGACAATGATGTAGAGATATGACAATTCAGAAAGCAATGGCAAACTACTAAACAAAAAATGACTAGTAAAACCACAAAGAGTCAAATAATGAGGTTGGTTTACAGCATCCTCTAAAACAAGGCTCTCCAGCTAAGTTTACTAAAGGGCCAAAGTTTCGAAGACTGGGATTAAAACGGGCAAGAGGCCCGAGTCTCAGCATAGAAAAACAATTAATACAATACAAATGAAACTTATCAGCGGGCCACTTGCTGGGTTTCAGTGGGCCAGATTTGGCCATGGGCCGCCAGTTGAATAGTCCTGCTCTAAATCATGGCTTTTCAGCAAAGTTTACTCATCGACCGAAAATGTTGAAAATGAAGGAAGCCAGAGATCCAAGCCCCAGCGTAGAAAGATCATTATTATTGCAATATAACTGTCATGTGATCTGCAGGCCACTTGCTAGGCATCACCGGGCCAGATTCGGCCCTCAGATGACCTGCTAAACAGCCCTAATGTGATGGATATGCAACAAACTCTAAACTTGTATTTTTTTACTCATTTTTCCTTCTTGAATTAGATGGGAGTTTAATAATAAAACATACATTGGAGCAGATCATCCACCGTACATGTCTTTCAACCCAAGCACCAACTTGGCATATATCAACACCAGCTCTCTGACTCAGGAGCAGTACGGTGAAATTGGCGGAACGTACAGGAGAGTTGTTTTCCATCTTTATGACCAGAAGGTTGTGGAGATCAACGTGATACTGAGAGACAGGCAGAGTAAGCATGATGTATTTTTAACAGATTTTATTAAGTTTGCTTTTGTTTGTTTGTTTGTCAGTACAAATTTTATGTCCAATTTAAAAAATATATTTAATACTACTTTCTTGGCTTGCAGGTCGACCAAGCCTAAAATGGGTACCGGGTAAAGTCATTGGAAGTAAAGGCAGATGGCGTGATGTTGACCAAGTGATGATTAGTCTATAAAAATCTGAGTCTAGCATCATATGCCTGATGCATCATGGGCGTAAATAGGGACCTATACTTGTTCCTTGAACTCTTTCCTTCACATAGTTAATGTCTGAGCGACACAGTAATGACAGCAATAAATTCATAGATGTACTACATCGATAGGAACTACATCCATAGGAACTACATCGATAGGAACTACATCCATAGGAACTATATCCATAAGAACTAAATCCATAGGAACCAAACATGCACCAAATTATAGGTGGCAACAGTGTTGTTGAAGTAGTAGTACAAAAAACAAATGGTCTTTACCACCTGTGAGTGTCTGTCTAAAAATACAATACAATAAATCCTAAGTGCGGTCCTCTCCCTCTGTATGAGACATATAGTAAAACACCTACTAAGTGAAGTCCTCTCTTATGTCTGCTTGTCTACCTGGCTGTCTGTCACATACCGCTCTTGTCACATGCTTGATTTAAGGATTTCTCCTTAAGAACCCACAGCACTCTGAAATAATAATGTTGAGTCGTTGGCTCGTATTGGTCTACGGGAAATCCCGTGGCCAATATACGCTCAACTTATTTCAGGAGTAGGGCAACTCAAGCTTTGGCACTACAAAATATGTAATATTCCTAGGCACACTTGGCTGGACACCCCCACTACTATAAAAAGGTAGCCCCCAGGTTATGATAGTATACTATCATAGCCATGTTAACACAGATTACACTTATTACTCACACAAACATAAAAGCTAGACAGAATGGTGAAACAGGGACACCCAAGTCAGCCATGAAAATTTCTGCATGTAATAAGTTCAATATATTCACATATATAACTGAATAGATAATCAAGAGTGTTCAGTGAATGGAGTTCAGGAATTAATGACACAACCCAGATGTTGAAGCAGCCAGATGTAGTTCCTGGATATAACATGAGTTCATCATTGGGAATCAAAGGGAGCTGTGGGAAGAGAGCATGTATGTGATTAAGAGATCACTTATACCAGTTCGTAGGTCACTGCTCCCCTCAGTCCATGGTGATTCGACTGTGGTTGACTAAGTAGATAGCTATGCCCCGTTTTGATCTGGTACACGCTGACTGTCTTTCACATGAGGACACAGGAACTGCATAGGAGCCCAACAAAGCTCTTGAAGACTGATTCTCTGGATTGATGACATAGGTGTCTGCAATTGTCTACTAGTCCTGGAACTCACATACAAGCTCCTGCCATGTTTAGGTAGTGGCAACAATAGGTAGGACTTTTGGGTATGCTTGGTGCCCAGAATGGTATGGGTTGGTGGTTGTTGGCTGGACTGTGATTCGTCTGCCTGATCTCTAAAAAGGTATCATCCTGTCAGGAAAGAACTCAGAATTAGTAATCATCCTTATTCACACACCAGCTCACCCCACACTCTGCTACCCATTTCCGTTACTCAGAGTGGAACTCTCAAGAACAGGAGACAATGTCTCCTTTCATTTATCTGTCTGTAAATTAGTACACCAGATAGAAGACAAGGTATATAGTGGAGATAGATAGACACTACCACACATAGATCATCCTCTCTCCACCCTCACATCTGCACTCGCAGACATACAATTTATCCCCTTAGTACCTATATTTCACGTCTCCACAGGCTGCTCACTACACACCCAATGTTTCCGTGCCAAACACACCTTTGACTCAGAGCGTCTAGCTCTGATGTCACAGCATCTAGCTGGTTAAAAGATGACCCAGATTCCATATTTCTGCTATGAGGCACAAAACTTCGTTTGTCTGGTCAGAGAATAATTACTTGTAGGGTTTAATATCTTTACAAATGGTGTGGGTTATGTAGAGCACAAACTATTTAGTCTGCACAGGGAAAGGTTTAACGTTCGGAGCCTGATCTCTGGACATCAAGAACGGCTCAACTCTGTGCGATCACACAGCTGAATCTTCCCTCTCTGCAGCAGTGGCCAACTTTAAAAAGACATGTATTATGGTACTCGTAAACTATAATCAACTTACCCAAGCTTAGGAATTCTTCAAAGATAAAACTGGTACTTTGAATGCACCAATTTTATTCATAGACTGTATACACGTCTTGACACTTTGGAGATCAGGCTAAAGAATGCCGCTCAAAACCCCCACTAGCGTCTCTAGGAAAGAAGTCCCTGGATTCATGCCCAAGGAGTAAACAGGCTTACAGGAATTTCTGAATTATACACCAGAAACATTCATCCCACAGTTGCAAGTTTGAAAATGTAGACATCTCAAAGCAACTAGAGGGTCTAGAAATGATTATTTCACCAGATTGAGGCATATATCAATATAAGGGACTATATACCCCTCCGGATGGGTTTAAGTTTGAAATGTGACATGCCCGCTTAGGGAAGTCAGCGTAACGACTCGTCAATCGTGTAGGGTTGGCTGTTCACTCCACGACACTGTCTGTCTGTCTATTTATTTGCCTGTATGTTTCTGTGGGAATCTGTCTGTCCCAATAAATATAGCAAAGCATAAAAAATAATAAAGTACCTCCCTTATCACTGTAAATATGCTCGCCTGCAGATCCAAAGGTTGTAGGTTCAAATCTGATGGAGCCGGATAAAAAAAAAAAAAAAAAAAAGCTAAGACCTTGGCTCTCCGGTCGACCTCAGCCTTAAATGAGTACCAGAGATCAGTCCTGGGATGTGGGAATGTGATGTTGGTTATATCCCCCATCCAGTCACCTGGTCAGTAAAATATAAGTCCAGGACCATTTGCCTAAAGGCATGAAAAAGAGTTATTTACTTTTACCTCTACCTAAAGAAGAAGCAATTAATTTTCAAAATATACCTTAATTTGTATTATTTGATGTAATTAATTCACCAGCATTTTTTTATTTTATATTATGTTATGTTAACTCTTTGAGTCCCAGGGATTTTAGCATCAGAGGCCCAAAGGGTAGTCAAAAGAGATGTAAAATCGGCGCATTATGTGTTCATTGGGCCTCTAGGTGGGAACCTATGAACGTATGATGAGTTCCTTGGGACTCAAAGAGTTAACATTCTATCAGAACTGTCAGGATACAGTTTATCAGTTTAATACTGAATGTTATCATTCGATCAGTACTGACATATTAGTATGGTCATAAAGAACAGGCAGACGGATTGGCTGGATTTGCACCGCTTGGTGGTGAATTGAAACATGACAAGGCAGACTTGGACAAGCCCCTTTGGGAACAAGCAGCGGAATCAGTAGAGAAATAAGGTTATTATTGCCTGGAAAGAATGAGGCACCTGGGTGTAACTAGAGGGTCTGGCCGGCTCACTACACTCAGAGGAAAGGCAAGACGGACATATAACCAGATTTTGACCGGTACCATCAGTATTAGAACTCTGCACTGGCTGGTGAAGATGAGTAAGGACGGAGCACACATGGAAATGCCCTGAGTGCCGTGATGTCAATTCTTGACTCAACTCAACTCAACAACTGGATCAGTACTCTTCTGACTAGACTTATTATGACTTCCACTAATAACGATAGATTAAAAACAGACATCCCTACTGCATTTATATCGCATCATTCTCATGTTGATTATATTATCTTTATATCTTGCTATCATATGTATTAAATTTACCAGTGTATTATCACCTTTATTATTTATATGTCATTATTTATAACAAAATTTCAATTATTATCATTATAACTACCATACTAAATAAATTGTTGTTTAGCCTGGTTATATATTTTCAGTATTCTCTTGATTACTACATATAATATGAATACAGCTTTGAAAAGCAACAAAGTAATAAACTAATAATTTTTAATTATTCTATGCATTTGTGAAAATTATTTGATGTCACTAATTGCATCCACTTTTTCTTTTTTTATCTGAGTAGGTCCCCTGACAGGAGCAGTTTTTGATCTGTGGATTATTGGTCTCATACTTGCCCTTATCCTTCTCATTATCATCATCATAATCATCATCTGTTGCATCTGTCGCAAACGCCAAGAAGGCGATTACAACGGTCAGTTTAAAAGTTTGGATGTATCTGACATACGTTGAATTGTTTTTAGCTTAATTTTTCACTTTGTTCATATTTGAACTTTCATGTTAATGTACCGTTTTAAGAGGAGTGGCTACTCAGATGGTTAGATTGCTGGGCTATCAAGTCAGAGACCTTGGTTCAAATCCTTGGTAAGATTTTGGATTTTTTTCTGTTGGGGTGAAAATAGAATCCTCTTCTCCACAATCCATAGTGACAGCACTAGCCATGCAGCACTAAATCCTCAGGCTTAAAGACCCCCCTCCCCCCCCCCCCCCCCCCTGCCTAGACCACAAAAACAAAATGGTAAATACAAGCAGTAATTGGCAGGCTTTTATACAATTTTGAAACCTTATTTTTTTTTTTTTTTAAAGCAATATATGTTATTTTAACATTGATATATTGATTTTACAAATTATAAAATGTGATTTTAAAATGCTAGTGATTTAAAAATATTTCATATGTCGTCATCATCCTAATCAACAATTTTGACTTTTGCAATTGAAGATCCTGGGGAGGGACAGTTTGTGATTCATTGTTTGATGAGCAGAAATGGCAATAGTCTTTCCATGTCACCATAAAAGCTCTTTAATGGCATCGCTCTATTTTCAGTTCTGTACTTTTTTTGCATTTGGAAACTTGCTAATCTTTCAATTAAAAGAAAAATCTTTCCCTGGTTTCTTTTCTGGTATTGGCATTAATAGAACAGTTTTTTTAATAAATCTATAATTTGTCTATACAATTATTTGCCTTTATTTAGTGGGTAAATCTACTGGTTTTCTTTTCAATCACCCTCCTTTATATCTTTCCTTTCATTTTGTGATGATTGGTTCAGTGATATTTTTTATCATTAAATTATCAGTTTAGTAATTCTTTAGTAGTTTAAATGGCACCTTTCCCCTTTGTGCACATTGTTGCAAATAAGCAGTATTAGTTCATTAGATAAAAGTCTATATTTTGTGTTGTGTGTGGTATTCTGTTTCCTCCTTTCTGACATTAACTTTTGCTGTTATACTTTGTCTTGTCCTGCCTGTCAAATTAAAAAAAAAAAAAGCATGTTATCCTGAATGTTTCCTGGATACAGTTTATTTATGATTTGTATGTTGAAGTTCTAATTTATGTATATATCTCTTCCCTGGACCGTTTATACCATTTTATTGCATTATTGTACATAGAGTAGCTTAGTTTTAGTTAATTAGTTTAATGGTTAGCTATGCATTATATTCTATCCACAAGCCATATGAGAATGAGAATTATAATAGTGGAAAAAAAAAAAAGTTTAAAACCTAAACTAACAATTACATTGTCTTATTGTTTCATTATAGTGGACAAGAAAGAAACCGGAGCAGGATTGGACCCTGAAAAAGAGCTGAAAGAGAAAGAATTCAATGCTTATTCAAGACCGTAAGTGATTTTAGCATTTGCTTTCAAGTTTATTTCCAAGTATCATATACCAGAATGGAGCAGATGTTAGCACATGAGTTGTTAATATATCTTAAAACAGAATAATGGCATCCCAGATTACATATCCACAAAGATAGATGACAAACTATAAATTGTTTGAAAGTAAACCTAAAATGTATTAATCTTGACAAGCAAATAGAGAGATTCTGAAGAGACTGATTAAAAAGATTGTTACCCAAAAAATTTAAAAAATAAAAGAATTTCAGAAAGAGTCAGTTAGAATCTTTTGGCCACATTAAAGGACATAACACTCTTTAAAGTCTCACTGAAGGAAAATTTGAAGGCAAGAGAGTAAGAGGTAGACAATGATACAAGTGAGAGGACAACACTGAGAAAAGAACAAGCGGAAGTCTGAGAGAAGGAAGGAACGAACGAATGAACAAACTTTATTTTCAAAGGGTTACAAATTGGTCCATGGGAAAGAATAATTTGCGATCCAGTGCACGTTGGCTGCCACTGGCTATTGTCATGCCGTGAAGGCGTAGAGTGTCTTTAATGTTGTCGATCCATGTTTCTGCGGCCGTCTTTTTGCTCTTGTAGCTGATCTTCTGAGATGTAGTGCTTGTGATGGTATTTGATCTTGTTGCATTCTAACGAGATGGCCAAACCACTGAAACTGCTGTTTCTCGATGAATCTAGTACAAGGTGTCATTCCCACAATCTGCCTGATAGTTTCATTATTCACTCGATCTCGTATGGTTAGGTTGGCTGCTTTTCTCAGGCACCTCATCTCGCAGATGGTAATTTTGCGTATATGGGTTTTAGATAGTGTCCATGTTTGGCACTGGTAGCTTAATGTTGGAATGAATATGCTATTAATAATCTGTCTCTTTGCACTCATAGTTATGCTTGGATGTCTTAATAATGGTGACTTAATGGGGATTTTGTTTAGTACTCTGTTAATAAAGACTTTGGTTGATTGTATTTGTGCCCATCTTTTCCATCCCTCCATTTAGCTTTCTAGTCACATTTTATGTTGCATTTATCACTTCTATTAATATTTGTTGTTTCTTTCTGTTTGACAGTGTCTACGATGAGTACGCTGTTTATCCAGACACAAAACCTCCAGGGGACCCTGAGTACGATGATGCTCCAATCGGAGGTGATGACGAAAGTTTAGGGGAATATGGAAAAGAAGATGTCACATATTTCAATGAGGATGGATCCTTCATCGGAATTTATCAAAGTAAAAAGTCACCTCCACCACAACCCAATGAATCAACAATATAGATTTTATGTGTGAGAGAATAATTGGATGTGTCAAAGAGTTCTTGGATAACTGAATGAGTTTGAATGTTTATTTTATACATCATCTCCTTGAAGAGGATTATTTCTCTTTGTCAGGATGTTAAATGGAGGATGGGGATGATTTCTATCTGTAAGTAAATGGAAACAGGAGGGCTGATTTCTCTTAGTTAGGGAGCTAAGGTGAGCATCAGGGTTGATTTCTCTCTGTCAGTGAGTTAAGTTAAACATCAAGGCTGATTTCTCTCTGTCAGTGAATTAAGTGGAGCATTAAGGCTGATTTCTCTCTGTCAGTGAGTTAAGTGGAGCATCAAGGCTGATTTCTCTCTGTCAGTGAGTTAAATGGAGCATCAGGGCTGATTTCTCTCTGTCAGTGAGTTAAATGGAGCATCAGGGCTGATTTCTCTCAGTGAGTTAAGTGGAACATCAGGGCTGATTTCTCTCTGTCAGTGAGTTAAGTGGAGCATCAGGGCTAATTCATCACTGAGTGAGAGATAATCCTGCTCAAACCCTTCCATATTTTAAAAGTTGAAATAGAGTTTTCTGTTTTAACCATGTTGTGTATAGTATTTATAACTACACAAGAAAATAGATAGACAGGATGGAGAATAAAAAACACACAATAAAGGGACTGAAGGTTGTAAAACTTAACCACCAATAGGGAGTCAACTCTTGTCCACTGTGTTGCTTTGCCAGTTCTCTAACCACTTGTTGTCTGTTTCAACATCCTGTCACATTAGTCCAAAAACATTTGTGCTCCATCATTCAGTGCAGCAGCCTTATCAGTGTCTCCCTGCTTAATGTACTCTGTAGAAGTTGACTGGCATATCTTTCTTCTTTACCCTACAACCCGTTTCTGCATGCTTGTCCTCGTTGAATACCCATTTCCAACAGAAGATTCATTCTTTGACTCCTTTGTCTCAAAGTCTTTAGAACTGGTTCTCTAACCACAGTTCTATCAAAGCACATTCCATGACATATTGTCTGCTAAGAGTTAAAATTTCCATCATGCATGATTCAATTAAAAAAAATAAAATGTATAGAGTCAAATCAATATGTAGAAAATGCAAGGATTTTCCTGATGCCTCAGGTTATAGTGCTAGCCCCATTTGACCCAGTTAGCTCCAGTGTGTCAGTTGGCACCTGATGGATTATCTAGCAAACATCACCCTGCCCCTCCCTACATCCCATAATTTTTTTCTGGTGGCCATTTATCGGTGGGTAAGTCTGAGCCTAGGTCAAATTAATTGGCAAATCTGATGATTGCTAATTTGAGAAACTGTTTTTATATTTTCTCTAATTTCTTTAACTCTAACCTATGCAATGCAAGACTTGGTAACGCTCAACCATGTCATCAATGAAACATGGATAAGTTCATAGAAAGTAATTCCTTGTTTTGCATTTACACGTACAATGCTCTGTGTATATGTACATACATTGAGATGTGTTTTTTATGTATGAAAGACTAATATAACATTACATATTTAACTATTTCAGTACATATGATGTGAAAAGTAAATCTTGGTATGAGAGCTATATTCCATAAATATTTTTGTATATTATTTAATTATGTTCATGCATGAATGTTTTGGGTATGTTGGTAGATGGGGAGGGAGGGGGGGGGGGGGGGGTTGTACTGCTTCAGTGCAGCATTTACTTGGGTAAACTGCAGTTTTTCTATTTTCTAATTTATTGTTAAAAACAAGATTCAGATGATCATAATAGCTGGCCAGTGGAGAAGTAACAATAGCAACTAAATCACAGTAAAATATTTTTTTAAAGGCCAAAATATATATCAGTTTGTGATGGGAAAAACACACACACAAAAACCAAGCAAACAAATGAGTGATAGTATTTCTTTAGGATACTCAGACTAACTGTAAGAAATACAACAATGAATGAACTTTAAAGGTTGTATGTCAATAATAGCTAGTCACACATATATAAGCAGATATAGTAGAGCCATAAATCATAGGGAAGAGTAGAGACAAGCAAACTGGGCCCTGACTGATAAAAAAAAATGTGGTTGCCACTTTCCTGTGTTGTAATGTACCCCCTTCCTAATTTTAACCCTATTTAAACCCTCATCTTAACCCCCTGGTCTCTGGGTAGTAAGATTGGATGCCTGTGTGTATTGTTGCGCACATAAAAAAATCCTTTGGCAGTTAGAAATCTAAAAGAGTAGGCTAACGGCGCTGCCAGGGCAAAATTTTTAGTTGAAAATCTATCTAAAGTATTTCAGGATCCTTATCGGTGCTACAAAGCTCGTGCACTGCACTGAGATTCTTCGGACTCAGGCTTTGACTTACGAGTAGAATGGAGCCATGATGTTGATCTGATGTTTAAACTAAAACAGAACCCCGTTTAAAGATAAACATATTTTTATGGTGCCTTTTTGTATGTTTATTTTTCCTAAAAAACCAGTGATATTCTGTCAGTGTCATTATATATAAAATGCTAATGTTGAATGTTGAATGAAGAATCCACATCACAGCACTCGGAACACTTTCGTAAGTGCTCCATTCGCATAAAATGCTTAAGTAATTTGACTCTTTGAGTCCCAAAAAACGCATCATACGTTCATAGATTCCTACCTAGAGGCTCAATGAACGCAAGATGCGCCGATTTTACGTCTCTCTTGACTACCCCTTGGGCCTGTGATGCTAAACCCCCTGGGACTCAAAGAGTTAATATACAAATATGGCTTCTTTTGCTTACATTTTACATTTATTAGTATTATTACAGAGCAAAGATTCTAGTAATGTTTACTTCTTCTTTTGTTAAAAAAAAAAAATTGAAATTACAAATGCATATTCGTGAAGCTAAAAAAATATAAATAAACTGCTGAAAAATAAACATACATGCATGCATGCGCACGTGCGCACACACACACACACATATCCCCCAACAAAGGGAAAACTAAACAGCACATTTTAGCTTTCAAGTCAAAATTTGCACTGGCATAGAAATTAAGAAGACACACCTACTTCACTATCAACAGCCAAATTACTAAGTCTTCAGATCTCTTTGATAAATAAACATTTTTTTCTGAGTTGTTTGATTTGTAAGGGAGACTTATTTTAATTTGCCTTTAAACAAATCAGTTTGAAGCATTTTATTTTGGGAATAAATTATAGTTTGAAAATGTTTACTTGCTGCGTGCATTCTGTATGAATGTTGAATGATATTTTGTTTGTTGTGACAGACCTTGTGATGATTTTTTGCCATTTATTACCATTCCATGTAAATTGTTTTTGGTTGATAAAAAGTATAACTGGTTTCTCTTTGTAAATAGAAATGAAACAAAACAGACATTTTTTAAAAAGTATAGCTGACATTACTAAAGTGATATTTCTAAAAAAAAATGTGTGTTTTTTTATTCTACTTCTACATTAACTCTCAGAATGGTGGTTGGCACATGTTGTTGTTTACAGCTAGGCTGCGATATCAGCATATTTCTGCTAACACATCAGATTTTAACAAAATCCTTGTCAATCACTTTTTATGACATTCTAGTTAGAGAACACCCCCCTTCCCCCTCCCTTCCAATAGGGCCTGGAACCTAGATGGAACAACTTTATGACTGATATAATTTATGCATAGCAGCTTTTCTTTCTTTAAAATAAAAAAATAAATAAAAAAATTAGGGCAATATGCAGTCCAATCTCCCTGTATATCATGCAGGTTTGTTTTCATTGAGGTTTGGCAGGCCAGTTAGCTTCTCTGGTAGGCAGCATACAACATGATAAGGAACCACTGTGGCACAGAGATTCAGTGTCCGGTCCTGTTGGTCTGAAGGACTCGGATTTGAATTCGTACATGGCAGAATTTTATGTTTTTAATAATTAAAGCAGGCAGACCCAGTCTTGAATGGGTATCCAGAGATATCATTAGAAGCCAAAGCGGCCAGCATGATGTTGATTACATCGTCATTTGATGACTAACTTTTAAAAGAAAAACTCATTCAAGCACTGCTTGGCTTAAAAAAATATGACCCTATTACTATATGACAAATATTCCAGTGTCATGGGAAGGGTATAAAAAAAGGAAAGATTCTTTTTCTCACCTTTAGGCGTATCGGGCATATGGGAAGAGCACCCATATTTTTACAGACTAATCGGCACTAGGGGTTAATGTGGTCAGTATTATGCCAGCCGTCTTTACCTCTCCAAGACAGCCATCCTGGTACCCATTTTAGGCTGGGTCGACCTGCGATGCCCTATATGATACAAATCTACACAGCCAGCAGTAGGTTTCAGTCTATGGGAAGGGTATAGTTTTAAGAAATAAATTTACTGCATGACTGTGAAAACTTAGGTTTCACATTTTAATGTGTATAATGTTATTTTCTGAAGTTTTTTGCAAAAAAGATTATCTGGACTCACAAGTTTTCACTTGTTAAAATCCTGCTTTCAAAAGTGCAAGACTTGGTACTGTACACATCTGCATGGAAACTTCCAAAAGTGAACCACAAAGAGTACACAAAATGTAATGCTGATTTTTGTAACAGAGTTAGTTATTGTTATCACTCTCATCATTGTATGTATTACCAGTTAACCTGTTATTATTTAAAATAACTGAATAGCAAAACAAAACAAATGAATAACTATGTGCTAACAAATGGAGTATTTTATTTGTAATATATTTTAAATAATTTTTATTACTGCTTCTACTTTCATGTCTCATTTAACTTTACACTAAGCCAGTTGATTGTTTATTCTTTAGGAAGCTATTTATTTTTATAATGTAGCATTTTAATTTTGCTTGAACATGAAATACAAATAAATTATTATATTTGCTTTCCTTAGCTGATAATTTCTTTGTTTATCTTTGTTCTTTGGAGTTCCTCTTTTGTTTTTAATCTTCTTTAGTTGGCTTGCTTTCAGCCATGTTTTAGAAAACAAATCCATTATTTTTAAACTGCAGTTTGTATTTGTTAAAATGTTTCGGAACATGCCTGTTTGTCATTAACTATGTTTGCAGCA